AGCATTGCTACAAAGAAAGGATCATGATACGGGCTTTCAAACAGCATAGTTTCTTAATAAGTTTTCAAGATTTATTAAGAATTTTGTTTTGGTTCAGCTTTGTTATTTTCTGGGATACTGTCTGCTTAGCTGCAGACAGACACATTTTCTCTCAGTATATTTAAAGTAACATTTTTGATAGCTGCCACAGGGTCACTCAAAGCAGAACAAAAGAGTACCTCATTCTTCAGCTTGGTCCCTGGATGAAGAGTTTCATAGCAGGTATGCTTCTTAGCAAATGTCTAGACATGCATATTAGACTGCATTCTGCCGTTTATGACAGTTGTAACACATCCCATCTGTCTTTATAAGTTTTTTTCATTAACTGTCAATCAATTGGATACAATAAATTTTCCCCACAAATATTATTTGTAAGCAATATTTCACTGTAATCAATACGTGAACAGCTCACTTTAAAAATTACTGATGGCATTTCGGGCGCCTGGGTGGCTCAGTCGTTAAGCGTCTGCCTTCAGCTTAGGTCATGATTCCAGGGTCCTGGGATCGAGTCCCACATCGGGCTCCCTCCTCGGGGGGAAGCCTGCTTCTCCCTCTCCCACTCCTGCTTGTGTTCCTGCTCTCGCTATCTCTGTTTCTGTCAAATGAATAAATAAAACCTTTAAAAAAAAAATTACTGATGGCATTTTAAAAGTTTGGTGAGTTTTGAGAACTCAGTTACCAGAATATATTTTATGGACTAATCACTGGTCTTGTAGATTCTAAAAACAAACTATATTCAATTCAATGATTCAACTATTATAGACTTATAAAATATTTATTCCTTAATAACCAATAACTTAAAATATATGAAGGCGGCTTGTATGTACTTTAATCAATCCTTCTTATTAATGTAAAGAGTTTGGGAGTCTATCAACAAATATATAAATAGGTTAAAATTCACAGTATGTTTTATTTATCATATTTTTGTTTGTTTTTTTTTTTAAAGATTTATTTATTCATTTGAGAGAGCGAGAATGAGAGAGAGAGTACATGAGAGGGGGGAGGGTCAGAGGGAGAAGCAGGCTCCCTGCTCAGCAAGGAGCCTGATGTGGGACTCGATCCCGGGACTCTGGGACCATGACCTGAGCTGAAGGCAGTCGCTTAACCAACTGAGCCACCAGGCGCCCCAATTTATCATATTTTTATTCAAAGCTGCTTTTTTTAATTTTTGAGGTCCATAATTCCAGAACTATTAATTTTAAAAACTCATAATTATTTTGTTATTCATATTAAGTTCAAGCCTTATTTTTCTGATAGACTCACAAATCCATAATTTCACTTTTGCTATTTCATTTAAATTTTAGCTATATTTTTACAACAAGTTATAGGCTTCTGAAAATTAGATACTTCTCACCCCCAACCATGCCACATTTTCCAAATATTATTTTATCTCCTTTCTCTCCTAACTGGCTCCTCTACAATAATGTCTTTCCTGCAAGTGATTTCATTATTGTTTCAAGTTCCTCAGCTTAAAAATGTACTATTCCTTTCCACTTCATGCCTTCCTCCTCTTCTATAGCAAAGTAGTCAGCATAACACCCTCCAGTTCCATCCACGTTGTTGCAAATGGCAAGATCTCATTCCTTTTGATGGCTGCATAATATTCCATTGTGTATATATACCACATCTTCTTTATCCAATCATCTGTTGATGGACATCTTTGCTCTTTCCACAGTTTGGCTATTGTGGACATTGCTGCTATAAACATTGGGGTGCACGTACCCCTTCGGATCCCTACATTTGTATCTTTATTAGATCTCCACAATGTCTTGTTTGTCCTTTACTCTCCAAGATCCTACTGCTCATCACAGTGAAGACCTAGATTACCTCATAAAATTCCCACATTGGTTTCCCAGTTTATTGTTTGAATAGACATAACATTTTATTGAACATATAGAACACTACTCTTTTGCTCAAATATCTACCACTTAATCTGACCCCATTTATCTTCAGTTATTTTACCTTATCCATTTTTAAAAAGTAGGTTCTATGCCCAACTTCGGGCTCTAATTCATAACCCTGAGATCAAGAGTTGCATGCTCTACCAACTGAGCCAGCCAGGAGCCCCAACAAGTTATTTTTTTTTTAAGTAAGCTCTATGCCCAACATGGGGCTTGAACTCACAACCCCAAGATCAAGAATTGCATGCTCCACCGACTGAGTCAGCTAGGGGCCCCTTACCCATTTTTTTTTTAGGATTTTATTTATTTATTTGACAGAGAGAGACACAGCGAGAGAGGGAACACAAGCAGGGGGAGTGGGAGAGGGAGAAGCAGGCTCCCTGCTGAGCAGGGAGCCCAATGCGGGGCTCCATCCCAGGACCCTGGGATCATGACCTGAGCCAAAGGCAGACGCTTAACGACTGAGCCACCCAGGTGCCCCAGCCCCTTATCCATTTCTAATATGAAGCTCAATTTGAGATCCTCACTATCATCCTCCACCTTCTCTTTTCTTATAGCTACCTCTCTACTGGGAGTCAATAGGCCTGTTGCCAAAGGAATGAGTAGGCACAGTTTCTGTCACACATCCCAAAGCAGATGGGACCACCTCCAGGACCATGGTTGAGCAGGGCAGAAGCCTGGTTATGGAACCACCTCTGCATCTACAGATACTAGGCCTGTTACCTGGGGTGCAAGTGGATGTGGCCCCCGCCACTTCCCTGAGCACACTCCTGCCAGGTCCATGGGTGGGTTCCTGGGTGGGAAGAGTTGCCTCTGGACCATGGGAGAGTGAAGCTGGAGCCAGGTCACAGAGCTGTTTCAGGGCCCACAGACCGTGAACCTGTTACTAAGGGCACCAGCAGGCATGGATTCCCCCTGGGTCCTTTAGTGGATAAGACTGGATAATGAGGGCTGGAGCTGAGTTCACAGTGGGGCAAGGATGCTTCCAGGTCCATGGCTGGTACCACATAAGTGCCAACAGATACACCACCTGGGTCTGGGACTGCCTGCTCAGTCTTGGGTTCCAGTGGGGTTTCACAACCTCTTGCTTCAATCCCAGGGTCCTGAAAAAGGCACTTTTGTTTATGGATGGCTGCCACATTATTTCTATGATGGGATGAGGGCTGGGGTCTTCCTATTCTATCATCTTGCTGACATCAATTCATACATATCATGTCAAATACTGCAGCATGCTAATTTTGTAAAATTTTTGTGGGGGAAAATTACATTTTCAAAAGAATCGGCTGCTTAACTGTAGCCTTGTATTTGCGGTTTATACTATCTCTTTCAAAGTAGCACTACAAATGATGAAAGATGCCTTAAGTTTGGAAGCTGGACACTTGCCATCCTCCTCCCACTTTTAAGATGTGTACATACTTTCACTTCTGCCTCCTCTTTCTACCTTCTAGTCTCTTCCCTTCCTGTGAATGGAATAGAACGAAGGAAAAGCACTTGTCTGAGTTGGAAAGGCTGTGCTGCCTGGGATAAGATTAGACTCACCTTCACCTGGCTCTGTCACTCATCAGCTGTGTAATGCTAGGGGACTTTCAACCAAGTTGAAGGTCATATGTTCCTTCTATTATGCTAAGTATAATATGTTCTTCATAGCAGCATTGTAGTGAGGACTAGAATAAGGGCACACAGTAGTAGAAATGCCCAAGTTTTCTAGTTATAATAGTAATTATTATTATTACTAGTCTGGATTATAAAAAATCTATATTGAATTAGGAAAAGTTAAGGATTTTGACTTTTTCATATTGTTCTTCTATCCTTATTCAAGACGAGCACTGATGAGTTCCAGTGTCATACAGACTATCATCAGGATTTAGGGGACAGTACAATGCAGAATTTAATTGACTCTGAAACCCTTCCATCTCCTTTCCTGAACCTTCTCTTCCTCGTGTTTTTCTTACCTGCTTCACATATACTTGGTACTCTCATGTTGCTCTTTGGCTAACTTTAGTTCATATACCTTTTGAGACTTCCTATATTATTTTATTCTCCAAATTTATCCCATCACTAACTAAATTAGAATTCTCTTCTCCTGGGGGCACCTGGGTGGCTCAGTCGGTCAAGCGTCTGCCTTTGGCTCAGGTCATGAACCCAGGGTCCTGGGATGGAACCCCACGTCGGGGCTCCCTGCTCAGCGGGGAGTTTGCTTCTCCCTCTCCCTCTGACCCCCTTTCCCTCCCTTGTGCTCTCACTCTTCTCTCTCAAATAAATAAATAAAGTCTTAAAAAAAAGAATTCTCTTCTCCTGAATAGTATTGCATAGCAATATACCACCTAGGTAAGAAATAAGAAATAATTAAGGTAAAGAATAAAGAGAAACTTCTTCCTCCTTTCTGTATGGGAGAAGTGTATCTTAAAAGTGGACCTTGATAATTTATATAAATTACTAATTGGTAGATAAGTCTTAGAAGGAGGAGTGTCTTAGACTTTAAAAAAATCTCTTCTGGATTCATTGTTCCCTTTCCTCTATTTCAGTTGATTTATGTCTCTATTATTAAAAAAAAAAATCTTCCAGTCTATAATTATTATCAGCAATTTTCGTCTGCTTTTCACATTATTTTCAAGGCTTTCTTCTTGGTTCAAATGCCATGTTTCATAGTGCTTGGTCATTTTTATAAAAGGCAGTGATTTTTCTCCTGTTTTCTAGTTCATTATAAAAATTCACCATGGTGGTCTAAGTGTTCCTATTACCTTGAACAAATGCCTCTTTCCTTGAGTCCCAAAGTTTTTTTTTTTTTTTTAATACATAGTTCCTGGTTTACCTGCCAACTTTAAATTTATGAGGTATGATATTAGGTGCAGATCTTTTCTTATGGCTGGAAATTTTAAAATAATCTGTGATCTTTTAAAATTAAAGGAGTAAGAGCTGTGAAGAGTAAAACAAATTCCAAAGCTCAGAATTTCAGGTTTTAAAATATTAGCAAAATAAAGTTTTTTCTTTTTCACAAAACTGTGCTTTTCTAAGATGAATAAAACCATGTTTTCCCAAAGAATATATCTTTTTCAACAGGTGATCAAGTGATATGGATTGGATACTATGGCTTAATGTATAACCTGGTGAAAATGTCATGGGAACTTCGGGGAGATGATGAGCAGGATGGAGTTAGAAACAAAATATGGCAAATATTACGGAAAACAAAGGATCATGAGAAAGATGGGCGAATCCATAATGGCATATATATAGCTCAGGTAAGATAAAAGCCAAGACAATAAATTGGTACTTCTATTGTCAGGAAGTGCTTGTCCTTTCTCTCTAAGGAGAAGGGAATGTCCATATTCAGTGAGTGTCAGTGACTCACAGCTGTTTTTTAAAATTTAATACTGATTTCTGTTTAGTTAAAAATAAGAGGGTTGGCACTCTTCTGAGTGCCTTCAAGAAGAGAGGAGGTGATTTTGGGGAAGAATAATTGTTCTGCTTTGGGTTTGTGCCTGAGAGACATTTTAAGTATGCTAACCACGCATTCCAGTTTGCCCAGGTTAGCCTGGGTCTATGCCTAAATTTTCCAGCTTTCTTATTAGTAGTGAATTTATTCACTCTCAAAAATGTCTCAGTTTGGATAATGAATTATTTAGTTATCTTGCTTGTAAGTTTTTCCTTCCAGCATTCGATAATACAAATTGCAAATCTGGATTCACTAACACTACTCTTTTTCTTTAAAGTTAAATATGTATTTTACAAGTTATTGGTTTTTCTAGTTCTAGTTGAATGACTACATATTTTTTTCTTCACATTCAAAGAAAATCATTATGAAATTAGCTATCCATTCTTCATGAAATGCAAATGTGATTTTCCAGAATGCTTTATCCATATGGTATCCTATGATATTTTTAAACTCTCACCAGTTTTTTTTTTCCTTTCTATGTCTTATTTTGAGCTAGGTTAACTTGTTTGTTATACTAAAGTACACTTTTTTTCCTGTCACTGAAGTTTCTGGCTTTTTCTTGCTTTAACAGGTGCAATTATCCTAACACTCTTAATATCCTGTTTTCTAATAATAATTAGGGATGTGAATTAATGTTAACAAGTAAGAAGAGCAAATAATGAATTCACTCTGCCTAATGGATTGTCAAAGCATATGCATGGGCCATTATTGCAACACAGAGCATCTACACTCCAGATTCTTAGTAGGAAACAAAACCTTAAACTCCTTGTTTTTCAATCATAAATCTGACTTGGAGTAATAATCTTTATGGAGGACTATCTAAAAACATGCATTCCTTTTCTCTAGACTTCTAATATCTTTTTATAGAGAAGACAATCAAGAGCTGTCCACTTGAACTACATTGTTTTAAATTACATGGGCTTGCTTTTATGCAACCATGCCTCAGTTCTATTCTTAGTTGTGGATAGAACATAGAAAGAAAAAGAAAAAACTAATTACTATTTTATCTATTACAGTGATGACCACTGTATCACCTGGTATCCCTTTTGTTGGTATTTAAGAAATAAATCCTTAGTTTCATGTGCTCTCTGAACCTTACTATTATTTAGTATAAGCTGCCTGATAAAGTTTTAAAAAAATGAGAGTCAAATTTTGGCTAGTTTCTAAATAGAAATAGAGGATGATATGTATTCATCTCACCCAGTCTTATTATATTCTCTTTGTTTTTTCATTTGCCATGAATTTTCAATTATTCATATTATTCTCTGGTTTTGCATTTTTCTATGCCACTTCACATCTCAAATGGATTGTATACTGTCACCAAATAAATAAGCCAACTCAAATTTGTCATTTCTATAATTAGAATCCTATTTATGTGCCTGTTTTCAGGGCCAATCATTTGGTATAGGATAATCTTCTTTCTTCAGAATTTTAGCAAATAACTATAGATAATTACATTTGAAATTCGTTAAGTCAGTTAATCAGACATAGCAAATATTTTTAAGTTGCTAGGTCCAAGGAAAGACCTATTACTGAAGCAGTCAGCTCTGAGAATAAAAGAATAAACAAAAGTATAACTAGATGTGCTAATTAGTTTTTGATGCTTAGTGACAAGACTTCTAAAGGATGCTTTCATTCATTTTAAATAGTAAATGTGTGGGAAGGCAAGTTTTCCTCAGAGAAAAATCTAAACTATAGTTTATTTTTTGTTTTTAAAGACTTTTTATTGATTTATTTGAGAGAGAGAGAGAGAGAGACATGCGTGAGAGGGGGAAGGGGCAGAGGGAGAGGGAGAAGCAGACCCCCCACTGAGCAGGGAGCCTGATGAGGCTCTCAATCCCAGGATTATGACCTGATCCAAAGGCAGACGCTTAACTGGCTGAGCTACCCAGGTGCCTCTAAACTAGAAATTTCTAAAGGCAGTTATATTAAGTTATAGTACATATTTAATATAAGAAATATTTATTTGCATTAGATAGATTAACTAAAAGATACAATTCACTCTAGATTTCTATTATCTAAAAGTTAAGTAGAGATAGAGACATTTGGATTATTAAATAACAAAATATATGATTTATGGATATAAATGATAGAATGCCTAGTCAGTGACTTTGAAATATCACTTAATTTAGTTTGAATTCCCTTATTTAATATTAAGAAACTACAAGTATATACACTAAGAAATTATATAAAAATTTTCACCAAATTCAGTAGAAAATATGAAATAAATGTGTATATTCTGGCTCCTAAATCTATTTTGCCATGCTAAATTCTATGGAATACACAAAGAAATCCAAAAAATGACCTTTACAGAGTAATTTTTATTGTTTCATTCGGGAGACTGAAGATTCGAAGATGGACTATAATAGGGACGCCTGGGTGGCTCAGTCAGTTAAGTGTCTGCCTTCAGCTCAGGTCATGATCTCAGGGTCCTGGGATGCAGCCCTGCACGGTCAGGCTCCCTACTCGGTGTTCCCTCTCCCTCCATCTTCCGTCCCCTGTCTACCTGCCCCTTGCGTGCATGCACGCACACGTTCTCTCTCTCTCAAATAAAATCTTTTTTTAAAAAAGAAGATGGAACATTATATATATGGCTAGTCCCATCAAAGTTCATGGCACAGAATGGGAGTTCAGATAAATGTCTGGTCTCTAACTTTTTCCTTATATTAATGAGGAATACATTGTTGTCATCTTTAAGTAGTACTTGAGCTGGAAACAAATGACGAGTTATGATAAATGACTCAAGGAAGCAGGGTCAAGGAATGTGTCTCTTAGATAAAGAAATGTGTGAGCCTAGCAGAAATAGGAACACTGTAAGAAAAAACCATTGGTTTACTTGCCTAGTTGAAGAAAAAGGGTTTGGATTGGGCAGTAGCAGGCATTACATTTGGAAAGTTATGTTTGGGTTACCAAGCTAATGTCTTAGAAACTTAGAGATGGTTTCATAAAAATAGAAATGCTAAGTAAAACAATTAGTTTTGGGAGAAAATTTTTCTTACTGAATTTTAAATAGGTGGGTAATTTGTGTTGGGTAAAATCATGTATACACTTTCTCATATCTTTTTAAAATAAAGAATTATTGTCTTAGCACTTTTGGTACATTATTAGAGTAATTGTCCCCAATTTATTCAAGACTCCCTATATTCACATCCTTGGCATGATTTCTTCTATACTGAGATTCTTGGCTTGACCACACACTTGATTTGGACAATGAGGCAATACCAATGTTATACAGGCGGAGATTTTACTTTTTTTTATTATTTATTTATTTGTTTTTAAGATTTTATTTATTTATTTGCTAGAGAGATAGAGTGTGTATGTGAGAGAGAGAGCATGAGCCAGTGGGGAGGGGCAGAGGCAGAGGGAGAAGCAGACTCCCTGCTGAGCGGGGAGCGGGATGCGGGGCTCCATCCCAGGACCCTGGGAGCATGACCTGAGCCAAAGTCAGACACTTAACGCACTGAGCCACCCAGGTGCTCCCAAATGGAGATTTAAAAAAATGCTAATGTATTGGGGCCTGCCCTTTCTTGTTCTCTTTGAATACTGTAACTGTCATGGGAACAAACCCAAGTTACCCAGTTGGAAAATGAGAGACAACATGGCACAGAGACAAGTCATCCTAGTTGATCCACTGCCCCTCCACCCCAAGACTAACCAGTTCCTAACTGACTGAACAGCTGACTATAGACACATGAATGAGCCCAGCTAAGACCAGAGGAACCATTCTGCTGTGTCCACCTTAAATTGTTGACCTGTGGAACTGTGGGCTAAAGAAATAGTTGTTAAACCTCTAAGTTTTGGGGTGATATTTTTTTTGGCATAGTAAAAGAGTTGCATAAGTGAGATTTTAGTCTGCTAAATTATTCAATATAAATATTGTTTCTTTCTTTCATTTTTATCATTTTTTAAAAGGCACTGATAATAATAGATTTGTTGAGCATGTACTATGTGCCGTGTGCTAAGCACTTTACCTGCATTAATTATTTAATCCTCATGAAAACCATATGTTATTTGTATTTTCATGCTCTTGATTTTATAGATGAGGAAATTGAAATTTTAAATAAGGACATTTAAACTTTTTAAAAGGTGAAGTAACTTGCCCATGGATACTGTGGTATATTACATTGTTTGCTTTTTCTAATGTTGAACAATCATTGCATTCCTGGAATAAAGACACTTGATGATGTAATATCATTTTTAATATTGTCATATTTGCTTTGATAATATTTTGCTTAAGATTTTGCATCCATGTTAATGGGTGCAATTGTTCCATATTTCTTTTCTTATAATGTTTTCTATAAGATTTTGCATCAAAGTTATGCTGGATTTATGGAATGAATTGGGAAGTGATTATCTTTTTTTCCTTATTCTGTGCAAGAATTTTGTAGTATGGTCATAATTTCTTCCTTAAAAATTCTGTAGTATTGACAAATGAATCCATTTATCATGGGTACTTATGGAAAGGTTTTAATTGTGACTTTTTTTTTGAGAGAGAGAGAGCGAGTGAGCAAGCAGCACGGGAGGGGCAGAGGGAGAGAGAGAAAAAGAATCTTAAGCAGGCTCCACACCCAGTGTGAGCCCAATGTGGGGCTCAGTCTCATGACCTTGAAATCAAGAGTCCGATGCTTGACCAACTGAGCCACCCAGGTGCTTTGTGGAATTCTTTTACTGCTGTATACCTTCCTAGACTATAAATTTCCTTGCATCAGTTTTTTTTTTCCTAGGAATTTCATCTGCAATATCTTATGAAGTTGCTCACAATATCTTTCTATGATATCTCAATGTCTTTAGGATCTGGCATGATAG